TAACCAAGTCCTGCAGGAAAAATGAGAACGACTCCTCCGGATATTTTCGAGGAAGGAACGCTTCACACTGGCAGCAGAGTGTTTTAAAAATAATCAAAAGCAGCAGTTATTGCTTACAGGTCATAAAAACCACTGTCCTTCTCCCCCTCTGCTCACAGCATGCCCTCCAAGTGCCTGGACTGCCACTGTCGGCTCTGGGGAGCACATTTCAAAAGCAATCAGCCACACTTCTCTGTTTTAATGAAACCTAAAATTTGGCCAAGATGATTTAATCACAATCACATTCAATCACCAGTGCCAGTTACTGTTTCTCTAATTATTTTCTATCCACTTATAAAAACCAAAACACTCCCACATCTTCACTGGAACACTGCCACACTTAAATTTACATCACCTAGGTTGGAGGAAGGGTCATTTTAAGAGTGTTAATTAACTTTTCATACTACACCTGCCGCCTCCGTGTAAGCAACTGGAGCTATAGGATGATTATGAAGGACACTGAAAAAGCATCACTTGTACGGCGAAAAATTGTATTTGGGATTAAAAAAAAAAAACAACCCCAAATCCTCCTTGAAATTCCAGATGAAGAAAATGAGCATGTAGGCTGAGCAGAACAAGCTGCCAAGGCATTTAATTGAATTATTCTGAACAAAATGAAAAAACTCTGAACCTATGAAATGCTCCCTGATTTTAGCCACAGACTTATGATTTGCACTGACAAGGGAGGCAGGTGACACACAACTGCTTGTGGGCATCTCAATCAAAGCAGTCTCAAGGAGATGACTGGGTTTGGGCTTTAATTCCACATGAGGGGTGCCAGTGCTTCTTAAATAATGCTCAGCTGATACTTGGGAAGACTCCCCTCCCTTCCCCAGTCTCATCAGCCTGGCAACGGTCTGTAAAGGTCAGATGATAATTTAGTGCTGCACATTATGTTTTCCTTGTCTTTTAAGCTAAAAAAAAAAAAAAAAAAAGGAATCCAAAAGAAAACCAAACAAGGAGGGGTGAGAGCCTCAGCTAACTGAGCTGTGGCTTGAGGAAAAAAACAACCTATCAGTGAACAACACCTGCAGAAGGGTCAGAAAATAAGATTATTGATCTTGCTGCAAGAGGACAGCAGCTGAAATGGTACTTAAGCAAAACTCTGATGTGCTCTTTACTGCTCAATTACTCAAATTGCAAATATAACAATATGCAATAATAAAGTGAGAGGCTCTGTTTATGGATCTCCAAAAACGGGCTGAATTTTGCCCCCCATCTGACCCCCCCAAGGGGAAAGCCCAGCCGTGCCTGGGGCTGCACAGCCCGAGGGAGCTCCGCAATCGCAAACCCCTTCCCTCCAAACTCATCCTCGCTCAACTGCGGGGACAAGGAATGACACGGAGCAGAGCCAGGCCGGGCTGTTCCAGCACGGCTCCCGGTCCCGCAGCATCCCCGAGCATCCTCCTGCATCCCCGAGCATCCTCCTGCATCCCCGCCGCTCCCGGGGACCCCCGCAGGTCTCGGGGTGGACGGGGGGGGTGGGCAAGGACACTGTGGGTTTCCATTTCTCCCTTTTTTCCCCATCCCAAACCCTCTTCAGACGCGGTTTCCTCACCATTTTCCGCGCAGCCACAGACCCTCGGCACACACAGCCATCACCAGCCCAGCCCGTGCTCCCGAGTAATGACGCGCATTTCAGGTGCAGCCCAACTCCTCCTCTTCCTCTCCGCTCCTTCCCCTTCCCGTTCGACCCACCCCGGGCGGGGCCGTTCCCCCGGTCCCGCCACCGCCCCCCCCGCCCCGGTCCCGCCCCCCTCCGCAGCGGAGCGGAGTGGGCAGAGCCCTGGTACCTTCTGGTATCTCTCCGGTACCCCCGGGTACCCCCTGTCCCCTCCGAGGGACCGGACCGCTGTCCCGGGGCGGAGCGGAGCGGGATGGAACGGGATGGAGCGGGATGGAGCGGGATGGAACGCGATAGAACGGGATGGAGCGGGGCTGCCAACACTCCACCCCTGGCCCCGCATACCCGCGGCCCCCGGGCAGGGCTGCCGTGTCCGTCGGCAGTGCCGGGACATCCCCCTACCTCCTGGTGACCTCCCTCCCCTCCCGGAGATACCTCTACTCCCGGGATCCCTTTTTTTTTTCCACCCGGGGACCCCCCTACCGAGCACCCCATCCTCCGGGTGACCCCCCCTTTCCATGGACTGGACTCTCGGGGACTCCATTCTCCAGGTGACCACCTCTCCCGCAGTCCCCCCATCCCGGTGACCCCATCCAATGGGTCTCCCTTTTCCCAGGGAACCCCATTCTCCGGGTGACCCCATCCCTCCTGAGCACCCCTTTCCCCTCCTCCAAGTGACCCTACCTTCCAAGGACTCCCTCCTCCCAGGGATCCCCCCTCTCGGGGACCCCATCCCCAGGGACATCCCCACTCTGCCTCCCAGCACAACCTCGCTGAGGAGCAGAGGAAACGGGCTGGAAAATAGTCCCCAGGGGCTCAGGGATTTAAGGCTGGGTGGGAGCCACCTCCCTCCATCCAGTGCTGCCTTCTCCTGCCTGCATCCAGGAGGTCGCCAGGATTTTATTGCATTACCCGAAAATATAATTAAAGCATCGAAAATGCTGCCCTGAATACAAACGCCGAATTCCTGGGGTGGCTGCTGGTTCCCAGCGAGTTGTTCCCCCTCAGGCCAGTGTCCCTGTCACCCTCGGGACGGGCCTGAGTCCGTGACACTGGGATGCGATCACACCCACTGCGATGTTAATCAGCCTGTCCCCGTCGCCGGGAGCGCAATCCGACGTGCTCGTTTTTCCTAAACGCCTCCTGCGAGCCTCTGGGAAGGGCTGAGCCGAACATCAGAACCGGCGGTGCCTCCGAGCATCCCGAGTTCTGCCGCAGAGACGCCGCATCCAGCGCTCGGGAAAACACCGAGCTCTCCGAGGGTCCCCGCGGAGGATGCAGGAGGGTTTGGGATTCCTCGCCCGCCTTGTTTTGTGCACCTGAGGAGCCGCGCGAGCGTCACGCACGGCTGTGCCGATGCACAGCCCTGTAACCGCAGTGTGGAATCCATGTGGAATCCACGTTTTCCCTTGGAAACAGTCGGGAGACTGTGTCCCCGTCTGGAAAGAAGAGTGGAGTCTCGCAGCACAGTCTGAAGTGAGAAGCACTGTTTAGAGGAGCAGGGATCACAGCCATGCACACCTTCACCTCCAGCAATGATTGGGAATATCCAGGATTCAAGCCCCAGCCTGGTCCCAGAGCCCCCATCAAGCACAAGCACCCTGTGCTGCAGCCCCACAGCAGCACAAACCTCATGGAAACTTCCTTTTTTTTTTTTTTTTCCCATTTGTTTCCACCTTACCAAAGAGAATTAGGTAAAAGCCCTCTAATTAAACAATGCCCTTCAGTTTTGCCTTATGAATACTGAATGAATACGATGACAAAACTACAACTTCAATTAAA